TTCACTGCTACGTGACAAAAATTAAGCAACATGGTGGCATGAGAGAGAGAGTAGCACGCACTAGCCAACCAAGCATTGACGGCAACCACGGATGGTGTTTTTTTCATAACATAGTCGCTCTATGACCAATCAAACAAAGATGAGCATTACACGGGATTGTACAATTGTATATCATAAATAACAGACCATATGTTGTAAAGTAACTGTTCAAGTGTCATGGTTCAGGGTCTTCATCTCCCCGCCTTTCTCTCTCTCTCTCTCTCTCTCTCTCTCTCTCTCTCTCTCTCTCTCTCTTTTTCTCTCTCTAGCATGCAATGACCGTGACCTTGTGTAATGAACCTTCTGATTCACTGATTCCGTAATGAACCTTCTGATTCACTGATTCTGTAAAGAACACACATGTTGGAAACATGTTGGACCAACGTTAAACACATGTTGAAAACATGTAGGCCGCATGTTGGTAAACAGTTGGAAACATGGACCCGTTCCTCCTAAACGATTGGCCACATCATTTCACGTAATTCCAATGTTGGTTCCAACTTGTAAGCAAGTTAAAAACTTGATGAAAATTTTCCAATGTTGGCCGTACGTTGTCTTGGGACATGGTTTGTCACACAGTCTACTCTGGATCAGGACGATCATACGGATACATTTTGGAAATTCCTCTCCACAGAAGCGGATGGAACCAGACTGTTTCAATGATGGGTTAGGCAACATGCCTCGGATACGTTAATGTGCGATGACGAAAGTCTCCCCTCCACTGCATATGGGCCACTGGGCAGTTTGAAACAAGTGAGAATTCGGAAAACCTGCAGTGAGGAGGGCGAATGGACATGCAAACTCTGGTTGAATGGGACAGCCAGCTGCAACCTACGTTTGGACCTCAGGATGTGGTCTTGGCACGGGTCCAGGAAGTTTCCAAAGGAAGCTTGGCTTACGGACTTCACAACAGGAGGAGGATATGATATCCAGCTTCCAGCCAGAACGCCACTGTCAGTGGCCATAAGCAGATGGTCGCAAGTCGATTCCTCGAGGGACGCAGTAATCAGTAGAGCAATTACAAGATGCTGGTCACAGTTGAAGATGATGCCTCTGATCAGAGCCACGGTCCTCCTCTGGTTGTTATCACTACTAACAACCCCCTCGGCAGTTTGGCTGGCCGGAAGGGGAATGGAAATTCAGATACAATGTGCAAGATGCCGCTGGCCGTTCGAGTCCACAGTGCACCTGTGGTTGTCCTGTCCACTATCCCGGAGGATCTGGGAATGGTGGAAACCACACTGAGACCGCATCAGCGGCCCAGTATTCATTTGGGACGATCAGTGGATCCTGTTCGGGGGAGTCCCGGACAACTTAGCCTTGGACAAGGGATGGGGCTACGTAGCCCAGGCCCTCAGGGCTTGCTTATTTCTGGTTATTTGGGAGGTCAGAAATAAGAATGTGTTTGAGGGTCGATTTCTGTCTGACAAATCAATCAAGTCCATGGTTAAGCTCTACATCCGCCGAAGCATAAAATGCGACTGGAGAAGGAAGGTTTCCGCTCCAAAACAAAAGGCGGCAGGCCTATTATGGTTCACAGGTACCTGGTTCTTAAAAGGGCCACTGATGAAGTGCCAGGAGGGCAAATTGGTTTTGGATGAGTGGTTATTGAGTGATGATTGACATACCTGGGCGCTCGGTTAATCTCCGCAGTAGGAGGGCAGTAGATTGTGGGCAAGCGGGGTAGGTGAGAGCGTCATCAAGAGCCCTTGGAGCATGGCTCCACCGCCCCGGGTTAGGGGCGGTCAGTCAGGCTTAGGCAACCGTGCAGGTCTAAGCGCTCTGGATCCGAGTTTCAAGGTCGAATGGAAGTCCTGAGGCATGTTGCCTCGCAGGGTGTGCTCCCACCCTGTAAGCGAAACTGGGTAATGCTCCCAGCCGTTCCGGGTAGACTGTGAGGACCCCGGCCTCAAAATTGATTGGAAATATAAGCCTTGGGCACTGGGCCCATGAGTTTAAACCACCAGTACTTGGCCCATACATCGGCCGCGGGCCCTTAGTGTTAACGCTACGCGTTTCCCGTGCCTCGGCAAAGGCTTGGCATGGCGATGGGGGAGGGAGCTGGTGGCCCCATGGAAACGGGGCAAAAGGACTGCACGATGTCCTGGTGGTGTGCTATGTGGAAACGCGCGGACAGTGGTAGCAAGGAGGCAAAAAAACAAAAAAGAAAACGAACGAGGAAAAAATAAAGATAGATGGTTGATTTCCTTTCTTTTCATTTTTTTTTGGGGGGGGCGGAAAGAATGTATCTGGCTTCACTTCTGCACGGAGTTATATGAACCTTAGGGCAATCACGTTCAGATGCTGGTTTCCCGTTTCCCCCTTCTCTTTTTTTTTTTTTTTTTTGGTAAAGATGGTTGGCTGTTTCTGCACTTGCTCCCCGTGAGAGATGGGGAGCATTCAATGCCTCAGGTCCCAGAGGCAGTGTGACGTTGCAACTTCGACGCATGTATCTGGCTTCACTGCTGCGCGGCGTTGTATGAATCTCAGGCCAATCACGTTCAGATGCCTGTTTCCGGTTTCCCCCTTTTCGTTTTTTTTTTTTTTTTTGATAATAAGATAGTTGGCTGTTTCTGCACTTGCTCCCCGTGAGAGACGGGGAGCATTCATTGCCTCCGGTCCCAGAGGCAGTGTATCGGGCTTCACTGCTGCACGTCGTTCACTTTTCTCTCTCTTTTTTTTTTTTTTTGGCTTTTTTTTCTTGGAAGAAGATCCTTCACAGGAGCGTTGAATGCGTGAGTGGAAACAAGAAAACGACGGCCTGTTTACGTTCCATCTGCTGGCAGCAGGTCTAAAGGAAGGGGCGCAGCAGATGTCCCCTATTTTTTCCCACTCCCCGCAGGCTCGGCAAAAATTGGCGCGCAGGGGATATTCAGGCTCGGCTTCAATAGCTGGGCCAAGTACTGGTGGTTTAAACCACCAGTACCTCCGAGCCTATTTTCCCCACCTCCAGGTCGGGAGCAGCCCCCGCATGTTCTCTCAGTGACAGGATTTGCCGCTCGCTTACAGCCCTCCGCTTGGATACTCGGCTTGGTGGTCGTTTCGGCGACGACAAAGATTTTCAGACACCGAACAGATGAGCGCCCTCACCTGCGCTAGAGGAGTCCGCTCACACGCCGTCTTTCCTTGAGCGATTGTGGCCGCATTGATGGCCACGTGGCGGGACGCCCTAGAGCCAGCATCGTGTCAGTGATGCTGCTCCTGACAAAGACTGTACCCGCACTACCGTAAGTGCCTCCGAGACTGCATGCGGCCCGTTATTGCTTTGAGATACATCACCCGGACAAACGCTTTCCCGGCAGTTTCGACTGTCGATCACAGCCCCACTCAGAGCATACTCACATCAGCAGGACTTTTTATACTAAGCTCTGGACCTGATCGCCGCCAAAATTAATCCAGATCTTGTCGCAATTACTGCCAGATGCATTTCGGAAAGTCCAGTGTGAGTATGCCCTTAGTGTGAATAAGCGGGTGTACCTTCAGCTGGAGAGTAGAAAAAGTCTGCCGCCACACTTTTTTTTTCCCTTCTTTTTTTGTAGAACCATAGGCACTCTGGCCTTTTGACATTTCCAAAGGGCGAGGAAAGCCCACAAAAGTCCGCAAAATGCTCGGCCTCGCTCCACCACTCTCGAAATGTGCAAACTGAGAGCGAATTGTCCGCTAGAACATGGAAAGATACACCGCCATGATTTTTGTCCTTCGTGTATTATGTCGAGAGTAGTGGAGCGGGGGCCTTAGGGCCAGATCCCACTAGCCCCTATTGTTCATTTCTGACCGTCGATCTTCGTAATCGAGAGTGAAAAATGACTAATCCAGGGTAGTGGGATCTGACCCTTAGGTTCGTGGAATCGGGGTCCAGCGTCCCTTTTTGTTTGGCCTTTTCATTTCACATTTCACAATTCACATTGGTTCTCTGGGCCTCACCGCTATGGCGGGTGCAACTTTCCGCGTTCTAATGGAGGGTACATTACATCTCCCCACGTAGTCTGTGAGCGGTCTGGGGGTAGGTCCCATACGGGCCTTATCTTTGTAGGGAGGGCTACAACGATGCCACTTGGGCGCGCTTACCCTCTTTCCCCGAATACAACGTACCGTCGTTATAGCTGTATGTAGACTGAAAGATACTTCAAATACAGCTAAATACAGCTCGGATGACCGTACGTTGTCTTGGGGGAAGAAGGTAGGGGCCATCGACTGACACGGATCGGTGGTCCCTACCGCAGGCGCGCGTCAGTCGCATCGCGGCAGTCCGCTGCAACAAGAACGCGGTCCCACTTACACGAATTAAGCGATATTAACCGTAGATAGCGAAGATCAACGGCCAGATTCTCGTAATCCGTGCTCCACCACTCACCGAATGTTCAAAATCGAAATCAATGGATTTGGTGCTAGAACATGGAAACGTACACCGCCGTAACGTTTGTCTTTTATGCATATGGCGGGTGGTGGAGCGAGGCACCTACGTAGCCCAGGCCGATTGGAGTCGCAGAGGTTTCACGCCCAGGCCGAAGGCGGGCTGGGTGCGGGAACGCGGGAACGTGGCTGACGCTGGTGGGGCGCGAACACGGCTGACGCTGGTGCCAGCACGGCGGCCCGCGGGCGGGAAAATTGCTGACGCTGGCGGGGGACGGGGGAGCGCCGAAGCCGCGTGCCGCCGTGTGCGAGCACGGCGGCCCGCTTGAGGGAAAATGGCTGACGCTGGCCGGACGGGGGAGCGCCGAAGCCGCGTGCCGCCGTGTGCTCCTGGCTCGAGGCCTACCTGTAGTTGCGCCGCTAGCCATCAGCCAACATTTTGAATGCACCTGGACAGACGTTCTGTAGGGATGCATTGAAGACGTTGGCGCTGGCGAGCGGCGCAAGTAGGCCCTTTGTCGCTCGACCGTGTGCAGCCGGTGTGCAGCCGGTGTGCAGCCGCTGATGCCGGACTTCGAAAAACGCTATATCAGGCATTCGGAAGCGTAGAGGAAGTCAAAGAAAGCACCGAACCAGCCATTAGCGGCGAAGCGGGCATTACAGAGCTTCGCCTTCCGCGACTTGTGATAGGTGCACTCTTCACAGGGTGATTGGGTTATCGTGTTGTGACGTGCCGTCTTCCATCGTCGTTCAACTTGCGAGTCATTGAGTCGACCCTAGGCCCCAGAGGCCGCCTAATTCAGTCACCTCCTTTGTCTTTTTCCTCTCCTTCGTCGTACTTCTCCTCCTTCCTCAAGTCGTCTTCTTCGCCATCGCTGCTGAGTTGCCGAGTTGTTTGTCTGACTGGGGAAGTGATAAGAGTATTATAAGAGATGGCTTCTCCCTCTAGCCTCGGGCGCTTAGCCCTTCTCTTTGGCGTTCTCGCCTTGTTGAGTGCCTCGTACGCGGTGGAGGCCAGCAATCTCGTGAACGTTCTTAAGCAAGACGGGCGGTTTTCCATCTTCTACAATGCGTTGTTAGCGTCCGAAGAGCTGCCCTCGGTGGAAGGTCGCACGGCTGTGAATGGCACTTCCTTCGTCCTTTTCGCTCCGACGGACGCGGGCTTCGCGGAAGAGTTCCACGCTGACATTCTGGCATGTCTTCAGGCGAGCGCACCCGCTAAGGGGATCGTCSTTCWGCTCCTGCGTTACATGCAGGTCACCACCCTGAAGACTCCCGTTCAGAATGGGATGGATCTCCTCAAGCAGGCGCAGGACGGCAAGATCTGGACTGTTCTGGGCCAGCCCATCGTCGTCGCAGGCGGAGCCAATAATAGCGTTACGCTGAAGTCCGTGTCTGGAGTCAGCCAGGCCGTTGCCACCGAATTCMGASTRYTGGACRYGAACGTKACGCTCATCCCACTTKCCGAAGGCATCGTTATCGACGATAACCTGTCAGATCAGATCGTGGCGGCTTGCCTGCCTGCACCTGCATCGTCCGCTGCACCCAGCTCTCCCTCTGTACCCAAACCTAGCACTACACCGAAATCTGGCTCCCCTCCGGCCCCTGCTTCTCCGTCTGCTGCTGCTTCCAAGCCTGCTGCCGCCTCCGTTGGTTCCCGTAAGTTGTTGCAGCTGTTCTAAACGCCTCTTTTTATGGTGATGGTCGATGGGACGATTCCAGGGGCATCTCGCTCCTCGTCGGTTTGGTTGAATTCGTCGAGATGGAGTGCGTCCGAATCAGCCGCCACGTCTTTAACTTTCTGAAGTTTCGGTTCCTCTCTCACCTAATTTGACACCGTCTGTCTTTCAAGTGTCGCTTAGTTCTTCATGGGCTGCACGTAAAGGCTTGCGCTCTTCAACGCGGCGTTAGCACGCAGGCTATTTCTCGTCATAGGGTTCGAAAATTCGCAGTGCGTGGTCACTTGTTACATGGAGCCAAGTGCAGGTGATCTCGTGCCGTAGCCGTAGTTGGGCTTTTTGTTTAGTGCAGACTATGTCAAACGGGCCGGCGCGTGAGGATCGCACACTCCACATATATGGCTACAGGTGAATTTGCTGTGAAGTATATAGGAGAATCGGGGTGTTCTCTGTGAACAGGTCATTAACATGTGTGTTCATTCTTATTCAACTCGTTTAATAACCGGGCGTGATTAAAGCCCGAATTTACCTGAATGTACGGGATTAGTGTTTGATAATCTGGTTGATCAATTCATCGGCGGTTGGGAACTACGTGCTCTCGTTTTCGTTCTGTATTTCTCTTCTCTCATTTCGCTCTTCTTGTTTCTTTCCCTTGATGTCACTCTCTTTCTTTCTGTCTCTCGACCGACGTTTGTATGTCCCCTTCTTCTTCATGCTTTCTCTATTACGTTAACTATTTTCCATGCTTCTGATCGATATCTTTATCCTAACTGTTGCTATTTGAAGCCTGTGCGTGACGACTCCTTTGATTGCTTGATATGTCCCCTGTAGAATGCATTTCGCTTGTTGGTTTTTGATTAACCGTCGCAACCATGATCCTTCTGTTACAGTGTTTTTGGCGTATATTGATGAGGGTCCAAGTTCGCTTGGCGTATGTTAATGTGCGTATTAAGTGAAATTCTATTGGTATAAGAAGCAATCCTTATTACGGTAGTTGTTGTGTGTGCGAGGAGCTTGGCGTGTCCTGTGCTATTTTTAGCAAATAGGTGTAATGTTCCCGAAATTTACGTTTTTTTGTCATCTGCCGGCTTTGTGTGGTCGTTTGCGTTGCTTGATGTCTATGTCTATTTCGCTTTTCCGATTGAAATTGGAAAAACACATCCTTTCGTACCTCTGACTGCCACCGATGGCTACCGTCTTCACCCGAATAGAACGCCCGGCCATTATAGCGGTATTCGGTGCACGTTTCAGTCCAGATACAGGTATAATAACCGGGCGTTCGATTGGGGTGAAAACGGTAGTCTATAATTATATTTGAATGTCGGTATTTCATCGAGATTCCGTATACGAGTGGTGCCGCTTACTCGATACTTGGCAGAGTCAGGATGATAGTCCGGTGCAAGTGGTGTTCAGTGTCCAAAGTTGGACTGGGCTTGCTGATTATGTCTTGAGAGGATTTTGTCTGCTGCAATTTGCCTGTTGTGTGCAAATCTGCGGAGCGATGTGTTGACGAATGCCGTACCTCATCGTGGCCGCTTTCAAATATCCCTCTCCTCGAAAGAGGAAGAGCCATAAGGCGGTGGCGGGAACTTGCCGCGGTAAATTGTGACTTGTGATTACTTCATGTGTAAGCAACAATTTTGGGAAAAGTCATAAAATTTCCCCGCGACGAAACTTTTGTATCCTTTTCTCTCCGAACGGGGAAAAAGATGCAGCACACTCCAAAATCACTTTCGGCGTCATTTTTGCACCCTGCAAAACACTTTCCCGCCATTTTTACCGGCCCAGCCAAGGCGCAAAAATCACACCAAAAGTGATTTTGGGACCTGCGGCTTTTTTTTTTTTTTTTTTTGAGGGCTGCTCTCTCTCTGTAGCAGTGCAATACACAGGCGACGCTGGAGGGATCGAGTAAGCAAGCATACCCGTCTGACGCCTCCGTGGCCCAGAAAAATTAATTTAATATCATGTGGCCCGATGGACCACGGATCAGATATTAAACTGATCAGAACAGAAACTACACGGATCAGATCTTAGCCAAAAGGCCGAGAAAGGTATCTGGGGCATTCTTTTTCTCGTTTGGGGGGGAACGTATACAAGATTTCGTCGCGGGGAGCTTTTATTACTTTTCCCTAAATTATTGCGGGTAATATAATTTTTGGTCGATTTGATGTCTGTCGTTGCTGTCAAGATGTGCGTTGCTCCGTCACACCAAATGGGGCAAAGGGAAAATTGGCGAGTGCATCTTTCACTTTCTTGTTGAAGATAAAACCCGATCGTGATCGGTTCAGACATTTAGGTAAGTGGCGCAGCGGGGGTCAAAATCAACCCGATCTGTATAGACGTTCATAACTTGCGAAGCCCTTAATCTTTGTCTTCCATATTTTTATCATCGCTAATAATCCAAATTTAACGGTGTCGAGTATGCTCTTGGAATGTTTGCGGCACCGAGTATGCTCTTGGAATGTTTGCGTTATCGAGTATGATCTTGGAATGTCGCATCGTTTACGTATTCTGTAAATATTTGGACTTTTTAATGCATTCCTGATCTTTTGTAGATTAGTTTTGTTTCTTTCCATTTCCCCCCTCCTTTTTGTGCAGATACACCCCCTCCTATCGTTTTGAGTTTCAGCCCGTGGATCTCTTTTCATCTGTATTCTGTTTTTATACGGACTCCCGTCTGTCTACCTTCTTCCTCCGAATACAACGTACGATCATTATAGCTGTATTTAGCCTGAAGACACCCCAAATGCAGCTGTAATGACCGTACGTTGTATTCAGGGGAAGAAGGGAGGTGTAAACTAAGGGCATACTCATAGTAGGAATTTTCAGAATGCATCTGATTGCAATTATGGTCCGTCCTGAATGCATCTGACCGCAATCACGGGCATAAATAAGTAAGCAAGTTCTAGTGTGAGTATGCCTTAAAACCGGACAAGGTTATGGAAGGGCACTTGTAAACAAAGCAAGGACAGGGATGTAATTTCCGTCTGCAGTGATCTTTCGAAAGGCAGATGGACAATGGGAAGTGATCGGGGAAAATCTGCGACCTGTAATTTTGGGAGGGGTAATGTATTGACGATAATGATATACTTCTGTGTATACGCGTGGAGTCTAAAATATTGGATTAGAGAATAGAAACCGAATTATATTTTAAATAATTTTATATTGTAATGAGTTCGCTTACTCTAGGTAATATTTATTTATATCGCGAAGTGTGTATGTGTGCCGTTTTATAACGCATGACGATAATCACTACATACCGCGGTCTTCTCTCTCTCTCTCTCTCTCTCTCTCTCTCTCATTCTCTCTCTCTCTCTCTGTCTCTGTCTCTCTCTCTCTCTCTCTCTGTCTGTCTCTCTCTCTCTCTCTCTCCAAAGACCATCGGCAAAGATCTAAGGATGCAACAAACACTGTACCTTCACACAGTGCACAGTTGCGAGCTGTCGACAGTTTCGAGTTACACTATTTAAGGCACTGATTTTTTGTTCTCCAACGAGTCCAATCCCGCCAGTGGATGTGCTGTCGTACCCCTCTGTTGCCATACCCCATTTTTGCGACTGATTTTTTGCTATTTCGGGTTTCTAGGATCGCATCACACTCCCTGGTGTTGGAGTCTGCGCGTTCAAGATTTTTTAGTACTATTTTAGGGACGCGTTCTCTCCAATCTCGCGGGTGCATGTGTGTCGTACGCGGCTGTTGCTCTGCCACATTGTTTTTCGAATTAGGGAAAACCAAGGCGCAGTCACGGTTTAGTTTGAAAATGCGCTTCAGTCACGCTTTCGCGAATGTTGTGCCAACGCGAAGAAAATCTTGCATGTATACAACCTACCTTTAGGGTCGGGTGTGGATGTGCTCTATTCGAGCGATGCCTGAAGTGGATTTGAAACTGAAATCTTGACTGCGCCCTAGTTACCCCTGCGAATTGTTTTTGGCTTGCTTGACTTGCGAGGATCTCATAATACTTATTGCCATTTATTCGCGAAAGGGAACGTCTGCTCAAGGAAGAGGCAGAAAAGAAGAAGATCAAAGATGCGGAAGATAAGGCACCGAGGAAGTTGAAGGAGCGTCAGGACTTCGAAGAGCGAATCGGCACCATTGTAGGTACAAAGATCAATGAAGCTTGCAAATTATTTCTTGGTAAAGTTGATTTGAACAGGATGGCGGGCGAACGCAAGACATCTGCAGAGCATGCAAGACCCAGAATTGATGAGGAAGCTGAGGAGTGCCTGCGTAAGCAAATCGAGCAGGTACGTATAGAGAACGAATGGATCAAAAAGAATATGAAAGAGCTGTCACATACGATCAAACAGTCTGCCGCCAGTACGAAGAGAACAGGAGCAGGGGTCTGCATCACCAGTCCTCCTGAAGCGCCAGCTCGAGGCAGACCTCGCGTGATGGGGGTGGGCACTCCCACTTCTTAGGACTTCCAAAAACTGCTCAGGGCGTACAACTCAATCAAAGAAGGCAAGAGAGCGGCCGACATGGAGGTCCAAATGCTGAAGGACCACTTCGAACGTGCCATCGGGAAGCTTGTCAGGTCGGGACGAACACCAAGGTCCAACCTCTCCAAGCGAATCAATGAAGTGTCAGATGATGACGAACCGGAGAACCTAGGCAAGCATCGTGCTCGATGATATTACCCTGATGATATTACCCTGCGGCCATCTCCACCGAAGAGAACTTCTGGGAGATTGGCTACCAAGGTAGCGGCCACTGAATGGGCTGACTTCATCAAGGAAACGAAGAAGCACCTCAAACGCCTGAAGAAGAACGGACTCCAGATCTTATGCAGCAGAGAGGGCATCTCTTTCACCACCTGCGAGCAGGCAATCAACTACATCGCCGAGCACAGGGCAGCGCTCGCCTTCGATTTTCGTCCTGAAGCTTTCAAGGTTGGGAGATCTGCTCTTGAATCCGAGGCGGAAGAAGCTAAGGAAGACATACAGGACGATGGGCAGGCCACGCAGCCTGTTGATATCGATGATGAGGAGCACTTGGCGGAAGAATAGGGGTGCGACCCAGGCGCTGACTCGCTATGGGAACTTCTGTTGTCTTGCTTTTCTCTTCGTAAGACCAAAGATGGCGTCCTCGACATATATCTTAACTACCTAGTTAGGATGGTCGTTATTGGGCTGATTTTCTTAGGACAGATCCTGTGGGGTTTAAAGTTTCAAGATCAATTACAGTATCTCATAGAAAATGGTTATGATTTTCTGACAGCACGTGACCCTGTTGTTTATTGCTTGCTTTCACCCCTCACTAAGCACACTTGCGTAGGTTGTACCTCCAGAACTATCTGCGACCGATGGGCTGAACATGTGGGTAGAACGGATCGTCAGCTGTCTTCGTCCGTCTTGACTCCTGTCTGGAACCACAAACTATACAGATGGTTTAGAAGAGCGAGACTCTTCCATTATGTTGCAATCCCTCTCGCAGTTCAGAATTCCGTGTCGCGTTCAAGATTTTGTACCGTACTCTTTTTTTTTTTTTTTTTTTTTGGTTCTCGTTGGGCTGCGCCCCGATATCCTTGCGCAGGGGCAATGCTAATTTGGTCGCGGTTTGAAAACTTTGATTTCATTCAGCACGTGCGAAGTTATTTTTCTAGTCAGTCGCGTTCGGGAATTTTATCACGGTTACCTTAATCTTTCGTGTACTTGTCTGGATTCTTTCTCTTCGTCTCTTTCTCCCTCAATCTTCCTCCTTTCGGTTCTCCCTACTGTTCTACATCTTTCATACGTGGTGTCATCCTGGAGTAAAGTCGATTAGATGCTATGGTCATTGTGTCTTGGCGGCACAAGTCAGGATTGACTTTGGCTCTTTTTCATACGCGGTGTCTGCTCGGTTTTCTAACCGAGCAACATGCTAATCTTCACTGTATCACTCCGATTTGAGCGGTTGCTCATCGGTTCTTTTTCCCATCCTATTCTCTTCCTCGTTT